ACTTTCTGGAGATCTTTCAATACCTAAAACCAAGGACACTAATTTAATCTTCTCAAGTATATCTTCACCGAAAAAAAGTTTTTTGGATTTTGTTTTGAAGAACACAAATGCACAGAGAGATTTATTACTAGAAAACATGTAGCTTTAAGAGTTACCTTACAAAATTACTAAAATCAAAGAGTGAGAAGCAGTATTTTCAGAAAAATGAAGCTGAGTTTATCACTTGCATTTCCTTCAACTAAACAAAATGAAACTTAAACAGAGGCACTTTGCTTACAGACATGTACATAACTGTAAATAACCTTGTAGTGGATCTGTGAGTGCAGTGTGTGTCATCAACAGCATGTGTATGTATTGCTTGGGCTGATTTCCCGTTTGTTTGTGTTACCTGTGATTTAACTCCCCGTGCATTTGAACTCGTCTGAATTTGCTGTTCATAGGGACTTGGGAACAGAGACATACAGAATTTGGCCACTGGGCTGTAAAACGGCATTAAGGGAATGCTTACCTTTCACCGCATTTTAATTTTGAAGTGAATGGACTGGGGTTTGTTACGTTAGTTTTGCTTTTGCTTAGTTGAACGTAAGCGTAATTCATGCACTGATAAGTAAGTTCTCTCAAATAACCTGTTGAGACTGGTAAATACCAGACTTTAATTATTAAGTATATTGTAAATAACTCTTTCTCTTACCAAATCCATGTAGTGCCCATCTTTATCTGTGCCCTTTGAAACACGCACTATGTTTCTGCATAGGCGACTGTGTACAATGCAGTCAGTTAGGCCTTTTTTTTTTTCTTTTTTTCATCCATATTGTGCATTTAGCTGCAAATCTGAAAGCAGAACTGTACACCACATTTGCTGCGTGGCCTGAACTGGATGGTTGAAGCAGATCAGACTTTTTTTTAGCTGCTTCTGCTGGGCGGCCAATGCATTCTGCAATCTTTTAGGATGGCTGGCCTGCGTTTTTCTTCCCACTTCGGTGTGGCTATGTTAAGAAACTGCAGTCTCTGTGCTTGCTTCTGACAAGCATCAGGAGCTCTGGAAGATGGAGGCTCTTGTCTCTCTTGCCCTTTTTTAAAGCTGAGTACGGTCTGTTCTGGGACAAGATCGACTAGAATGCAAACAAGATAAGGAAAAATTACCTTTTTGTCCTTTAGTTTTATCTGTTGGCGAGAAGGTCATATAGGTAGTGGGTAATAGTGTTAAACGTAAAGCTTTTTGTAAAGTGTATAAATGATGTATTGGCATTTTGACAAATCAACAGACTTCTGAGTGCTCTAATAATATTCCTATGACACTTATGAATCAGGTTACTAATATTTTAAAATGAAATATTCTTTCTCATTTAAAATAAATAAAGAGCTGTATTTCCTTTCATATACAAGAGGTAAAGTAAGTCCCATTGCTGTTTTCTGTTGTCTCGTTTTCCTTAGTGTTGAATGTTTGCTTTCTTTTTTCATATATTTTTCCCCTTTTGTTTCATATATACCTAAAAAAAATTACTTGAAGTCCGTCTCTCTATATACAGTAGTACGGATCATTGTTTAATTTTAGACTCCTTATCTTCTATATTAAAAAGAGTGAGAACCTTCACTAGCTTAGTGTGGACAAAGAGATTATTTTTTCCTAATACAAATTTCTTCAAAGACCAAACCTTTTGAATATCATGAGAGAAAAAAATTTCGACTCCCATAAATTTGTCTTTGTGGTCTGTTGTGTGATTCCTATCATAAAGTTTCATTTTTAGTTTCACCTGTAAGCTCATCATATCGAAGCCAGGATTTAGAATCAAAACATGACATCTTTGCCTTATTGATGGCACCTATTTGGACAAAAAATGACAATAAACAGAAAGCTCCTGAAAAATTGTGGCCAAACCTAAATTTGAAGTATTAAGGAGGATTTACTTTTTATAGATGTATTCACTTCTAATTGTTATGGTAACAAAGAATTGAAAATATGCATTGATATATATATATGTCAAATACGTATTTGCTGATATAACATGCTGACAAGTGTGTTACTAAATGAAGGAAATGTGTATGCTCAAAAATGATACTTTTTTTAAAGTTGCATGACAGGAAAAGGACTGAGTATATTACCACAGGTTTGCATTTTACATATTTGGTTTATAATGTGAATCTAGTTCTGGCTTACTATTAATTTATATGTAAATTTTTCTTACTGTATGGAATAGATACTGCAGGGAAGGATGCAAGTTTTCTTTTAAAACTGTTATTTTTTAGCTGTGCAAAGGGACTGTGGGTACAATGAATTGAAAGTGTCTATGGTATAGAGCACAGGAGTAGGACCCGTGAGACCTGACGTCTCTTCCAGTTTCACCATTAGTCCATCAGGTAACATGGAGGAAGTTGCTTCATAATTCTGCACCTCGGCTTTCCCACTTGTAAGTTGGAGATAATCATACTGCTAGGTATGAAGTTCTAGGTGAGAAGAAGTTCTAATTATTATTTTCTTTTTAAGAGACTTGCTACTACATACTATATGCAGTGCAGAGTAAGTGATGAAGCTGTTATCTATGTGGTGTACTGCAGACTACAAGATACATTCCATTTAACATCCACTTTTATTATACATCATACGGTCGGCAGTATTTTTATTTCTTTGTCTAAGGAGAAGTGATAGGGAACATAAGAATACAGGAATGGTCTGTAGAGATAAGTGTATTGCAATTTATTCTTGTGTTGCTGGCACTGAATACTGGAACAGATTTACAAGTGGAATTTGCAGGAAAAAAGTTATTATTGTCCCCATGTGTAAGGAAAACTGGTCCAGTGATACAAACTGTGTGACATAATTTAAATTCAGTTTCCTGTTCCATTGTAGGTTTCCTGTACTTCCTTAAGCAAACCACTTTTCTTCACAGTGGAATTCTCCGTCTGTAAAATAGGAATAATTGTACTTTCCTGTGGAACGTGCAACAGTTGTAAAACTGGGCACAGAAAGCTGGTGGTGCACTCTGACACTACAGCTTCAGGGCCACAGAAGTGTGGTGGGTAGATGCACGAGGCTTTGGAAAGACAAGAGAAACTTCCAGAAATAAGTAAATGAGCTGAGAGTTTAGACCATCTGTGCCTGGGGTTGGAACTACTGGAGAAGAACAAACGGGGTGAGGGAGACTTTTAGATGAAAAGTGCAGTTTTTTCTTTTCATTCAAAAGTCTCTGAAAAACTGTCTTGTGCACAGTTTTCTTGGCCACTGCCCTGATAACACGAAGCATGTACAAAATCTATTTCTAAGCAAAAAATTCCTGCCAAGGTACATGTCATGTGTTTTTTGAGGAAGAATAAAGTGTAAATGTTAAATTTACTGAAAAAGCATATGGAGAAAAATAAAACTCATTTGGTAAAATCAAATGCTAAACCTTTCCTCAGAAAATCTTTTTTAAATTACACATTTAACTTGAGAAATGCTTTACCAGGTAATACAACCTCTGTTTCACAATAGTCAGAATGAACAAGTTTTATACGAAGTATCAGTCAAATGTTATTTGAAACGCTGATATACAGTATATTAAATAACAAAGATGCTGACACAGCCTTAACTGTAGTAGTTCTTCTAATTACTGCACTATGCCATGTTATATTATATCACAGGGCATAATTTAGTGTATCTTTCTTTGTCAGTGTATTACTCATCATTTTACAAATTACAAGTCTTTTATAGGAAGGTAATTCATACTTGGACATAGTGCTAAAATGATGGAGTGATTTCCTTTTTTCTCAATCATTGATCTTTCAAACTTTTTCATTTAGCTGTATTAATCATGTTTATTAGCTAAATGTTGTCATAAAGAATGGAATTTTTCTGTTACTTTCATATTCAATTAAAATGTGTTTTGCTTGCTGCCTCTATCTGCTGCATCACAATAATCTATTTACTTATTCTAATTGAAATTCTTGTTCATAAATCCAAAACAAAGTCAATACTGCAGTTAGACATTTTCATAAGAATCTATAATCTAATTGAAAATGTGGGGCGTACCTGAGAAGGGAGTGTACTTAAAATACCTTTTTATTCTAGAAATGTTCAATCTCACCTTTTTTAATGCGTTTTTTTTGTGGACCAGATGTATTTCAGAATTCACTAACATAGAATACTTAACTGCTGTTTAAAAGGAACTTGTTTTTATTCAAGTGTATAAGTGTAATACTGAAGAAAACTACAATCTGTAAAATTGCTGCAGAACACCCTCTCTTCAGAAGACCAAACAGATATTCTAGACCAAACTAGTCTTAGTGCTTAGTTTGCTATATTGTGTTTTTGTTGTAGACAGTAATTACTGTGCATAATAGATATCTTTAAATTTAAATTCCTGAATGCTGATGATTTCCAAGCCCAACCTAATGCCTGGCTTGTTTAACCCAGCAAAGTGAAGTGTTTCACTTAGGACATCAAATCCAGCAGTGGAGGATCACTTAGGACATCAAACCCAGCAGCTCAAAGATAACATAGCAGCAGGATAAATTGTTGTAACCTGTTCAGGGATGAATTTAAGCTAGAATGCTAGTGAGCATTGGAGTGAATAGCGGAGCAACTCTCCAGTAAGATTAACAGCGGTGAGAGACCTGACGAGCCCGAAGATGGACACCGATTAGTCTCTGGCAGGGACTGGGTGGCCTGATTCCCTGTGATAGCAGGAGATGGTGATTCAGTGTCTCAGGTGTTCCCTTTCTGCCTTATTTACTTAATTGTGACTGTGTTTACTTGGATGATTTTATTCTTAAACATTTTGCTTTTCCTGTTTCCAGAAACTAGTGTTACGAATGTAGGTGATGCTGAAAGTTTCTAATCATATTTTTTGCCTGATGCATATTTATTAATTTATTAAAAAAAAAATCAGGTGTAGGTTTAAGGTGCTGTGTTTGTGCTAGGCGCTTAGCTATGGTGAAGAGTATTAGCTCGTTGCTAACCAAACAAAATGTCTTTTAAAGAAAAGTATATGCCATTTAGGATTTGTTTCTACCCTGTTTTGCAGGTGGGAGTGAATCCTCCTGGGATAAAGACAAGCTTCAGTCCCCCATTACAACAGGATCGCAGCACAGCCTTGGTCATCCCACACTGTCAGGGCAGTCGAGCCTTGGAAGTGCGCACCCACTCAGTCCTCTCCAGCAGAATCACCTGCTCACCAACAGTACGTACTGTGCTCTTACGGTAAAAAAAAAAAAAAGTACATGGAGCCCTGCTTGGAGGTTGGGCTTGCACTTCTTCCCAACCTCCTGGAGGTGGGGGAGATGGATGGGAGACACATGAGCGACAGGAGGGTCACTCCTCCCACTGTCGGCTGCACTTGTGCATCATGTCCAAGCCACCCTCTTTGAATAGTCACTCACTGCTGGGTTAGGGACTGTCAGTCCTTAATTGACATTTCCATGGCCTGGGCTGAAGGGAAAAATAACCACAAAGTTGCTTAACATTTTAGCTATGTGAGAAAATTCTCTTCCAGGTGGAAATGCTTACCAGCAAATAAAAATGAGAGGCAGGAATAAATGCAAAAAGTCTAGTTAAAAGCGAGCAGAAGCAATTCCTCTGCCTTGTTTTGCAGGCAGAGGTGTGGGTAAGGTCATCCATTGAACCCAGCCATCCAAAGCAACTGGAATAAAATGACACAAATAAAGTTTGGATTTGGAACTTAAAGCTCCCTTCAAACCCATCTCTTTTCCTTCCCTTAGGAAGGGGGCAGGTGGGAGGCCAGCAGTTCCCCTTATCCTTTGCACCCAAAGAGAGAGGGAAGGGAAGGGAAAGTTATTCCAAGAAAGATGTTCAGGATTAATGTTTTAAAAATTAGTGAGGAGTAAAGTTAATTCTAACAGATGATGATGGATGAAGAATGAAAATCTCACTATTTCTGAATTCTTGTTATTTAAGCTCTTCATCCTCAAAGTTTTGAAAGTTGTTTTTTGGTGTTAGTTTTAATGGATGAATGACATTTCTGGCTCCTTACACAATTTTAGGAGCAGATAGTTCCTTGCTACCTATGTAGGGCCCCAGACTTGAACAAATCAAAGCTACTGAAATGACTCCTACAGTATGGGTCTGCTTTGTTCATGGGAAGGTATGGACCTGAACATTTTGGGTTAAGTGTCAGTAGCCAAGAATCACCAGATCATAGGACTCAAATTCACTGTAGTTTATCCTTTCATTTTATATTCTTCAATAACTCAATACCTGTATATATTTTACATACAGGGATATTGTGTTCTTTGCTGTTCAAGAAAACTTTAAAGATATTTTCCAGTAGATTTTGTAGTAGGCAAATGTCTATAGGCTATTAAAGGGTTTATTGAATGTCAGACATTATGTCCAATGATTTGCAAGTGTAGGATATATTTTCTTCATAGTCCTCTGAAATGTTTGACGGATTGTGTCTTAAAACTGGTGATGTGCTGTTAAATTCTGTTTGTAGTTTGCATTTAGTTTGCATGTCAATTGGACTTTAAGTAGACATACAACTCAATGAGGCCAGATGGTGTCTGGGAGTTTTGGAACTCTATAGAGTATGAGGAAAGATTATTGGGCTGTTAAGGGAGATATGCAGGGGAACAAAGGCTTATGGACGTAAGCACTGAAGGGGCTTGTCAGTATGGTTTAAAGTGAAGGGAGATCTATGTGGGCTTTGCTTATTACCTATCATAATTAATATTGGCATGGATCATTATATAAAATATATCGTGAATCATAAGACATCACAGTTGTTGATCATGATATACTCAAGCTAAACAGAAATAGTGTGGGAGCTCAGACTATATACAATTCTGCCTTTTGTGGTGGGCGCTGTGGTGTTTTTATATCACTGTAGTCAAATTGTATTGGAATAACATAAGCTATATCAGTCAGTGATATTTTTTATTGTGGGTTCTGTCATACAGCAAAATGGTGACTGGCCTTCTCATTTAAAATAGTTAAGATAGAGCCAAAAGTTAAAAAACTTTTAGAAATAATGAATGTGAATAGCGTATGGTTATGACTAGCTATAAGATTATGTTATTTACTACTTGTACCTGAATTTTTTGATGAGAATTTCTAATCTAAATTTCATTTAGAAAAACGGTAAAGCATTTTGTCTGGCAGAATGAGTCCTATTTTTTCTGAAAAAATAATTTTGGATGCCCAAAGGTAGCTATCTTCAAGGGGTCTCTCTAAAGAATTCTTAAATGCAAAATAACCTGAAACAATTTTTTCAGTGAATTGGTGTCTTGGTCTTGCTTTCCATTGTAGTCATTACTAAATACAATATGTAATACACATGCTGAAATAGATTTTAATGAAACACAAGAATCCAATTCTTGCTAGCAGTTACATCACCTTTTTGGCAATGTCAAGATCTGCAAGTTGGTCCAAATGAATTTCATACCTTTTTAAATTGTTTTATATCCATAGCAGAAGACAATTTAAAGTGACTTTTTGGAAATTAAAACCTCTGGCAACAATTTTAACCTCTCATTACATGTTTCAGTTCACAGACCTTCTGTACAGTAGTTCAGTAGCGTCTATAGTCCGACCCACAGCTTCCTTTATTCAAGAAATAGTCCTAATATAAAAATCTAGTCTCAGATTGCTGTGTATGTGAACTAATAATAGTAAGAGGACTTGGTAAGACTATATTGTCAGATAAAATTATTAATAAATATTCATCTGATGTGTTGGAAAAACATGCAAATATCTGCATGTTTCCGTTTTTTTCTTTATTGCTCTTAATAAAGAGATCACTGAACTTACGCACGGTTGTATATTCATTTTGCTAATACTGTGTTACTTTATTTTTTTCCCTAATACAAACCATACAGCCTTTTCTGGAATACAAAGACAATTATTCCCTATGTAACATCAAAATTGTTAACACATAATAATACTGAGTTTGACTAGTCAATATTCCAGTAGAATATAGACTCTAAAAATTAAGTTGTTGAGTTATAAAATGAGGGACTCGCACATATAACGTGCCCATGCTCTTTTTTAGGGATAGACCTGCCGTTTATGATGATGCCCCACCCTCTGCTTCCCGTCAGCCTACCTCCTGCTTCGGTTGCAATGGCAATGAATCAGATGAACCACCTCAATACAATAGCTAACATGGCTGCAGCAGCCCAAATGCACAGTCCTCTTTCCAGGGCAGGGGCCTCTGTTATAAAGGTAAGAGTCATCTATGAGACTTAGAAAAAATAGCTTTTTGTGGCTAACAAAAACATTTACAGTGACTTTCTTAAGGAAAATAACTAAGAGGCAATGAGCTTATACTGCCTATAGAACACCTGGTCTGCTGTTCCTGCTGGTGCTTCAGTTTGAGGAAATACCCGCGAGTACAGTCAAGAAGTTAAGATGCTCTGCTCTATCTACAAATCTGTAATGTAATTAAAAACAGATACTAAGGCTCACTAGAGGCTAGGGGAATAAGCAGTGCTGCATCTGTTAAAGCTCAAAAGCTATTCTAAAATGTTGTTTAAAATCAAACTTAATGTTATACTTAAAAGAAAATGCTATAGAACGTAACAGGAACTCTGGTGCAGTGCAATTCCAGAACAGGTTGATAGCAGAGAAAATCATCAGAAGTACCTTACTGAGTATAGTCTCTGATAGCAACACCTTCCTTCTGGCTGGATAAAACATGTTTATACTTTTGAAAGGCTTCTCTGGTAGTCTTTCCAAGCAGGTTCTTAAGAAAATTTCATGCCTGTTCAGTTGAGAGCTGAAGTCCTGCCACACACTAAAGAATATGTTGAGACGAGAAATTTTCAAAGTAGAAGGATATAGAATCGGTGCTTGTGAAGGATTGGTGCTATGGGATTCTCTAAAACACAGTGTGTCCTCTTTCTATTGAGTGAAAATGAAAGATTTTATCAATCTAACTTTTGCGTGTATTTGCATGCATGTGCGTGTTTCTTGTTGACAGAATTTTATTTTGTCAACTTTGAAAGGTAGTTATTTTAGTCCATTTTTCTTTGTTTTTAAATATGTAAGTCTATAGAGCTATCTGTTCTGGAAAGTACATGTCTTTTTATTTTTATATTTATGCTCATTTACACTCATGTATCCCCATCGTTCTGGAATCCCAAAGTTCTGAGTTGCTTTATTCTAGTAACTTTCACTGATTTGCTGAACTTAATCTCTTGTATCTTTATTGTAAAGCATCTTAATTATAAAATATCGTTATTTTATCATTGAGAAAGTTACTGTTGCCAATATTACAGACCAATTGTGAGAATAAATTAGTTAGGATTGTGTTGTACTTTCTATTGTCACAGCTTGCCGCTGCAGGGAATTTTGCTTCTACATCAAGCAGGGAAAGAATTTAGTAGTACACAGCCACCTGTTTATTCTTCATACTTGTATTTACTGATACCAACATACTTTCAAGAAAGAAAGCAAATCTCTTTTGTCACATTACGGTAGCATATAATATTACGTGTCTCTGTTGCTGAGGTTCTGGGGGTCTTCGTTTTTCTTCTGATCTTCTTCCTGGCCCTGAGCATCTCCAAAATTGCCTGGTTTTTTTTCTTTACTGAGACTCCACTTCCAAATTAGGGCAAATGTTGTTCTTAATACTTTGATTTTGTTTACATTTTGTTTTCTTGGATTCTGGGCAGCTGGTAAAATTCAGGGGCGGGCATTCCCCAGTTAGAGACTATTTAGGATTAAGATCTATAAAAACTTCTCCTTATCGTCAGTGTATCTGCACAGTTGTTGACTGGGAGGGGGAAGCATGATATCTCTGATGTCCAACTGTCCATTAGTTAATGCAAGTAACTGAATTGTTAGAAATCAATTGAGGTTACATTTGTTTCACTCAGTAACTTTTTCTTTAACTGTTCAGAGACCTCTTGAGAAAACCATAACCTAAATACAGGTTATTTGTAGCAGCAAGTAGACTGCATAAACTTTGATTATATTTTAAATGCTATCAGTCTGTCAAAATGAAGATTAAATATGTATTTGTAAACAATGCTAGTTCTTTGTAATACAAACTACAGTTTTTGCAAGCAGTTAAGTTTAAGGATGCTCTTTAGCAGGCCCTTGCTGATGCTAGTTACTCATTCACAGCAATTTTTTCGCCAACACCTACACTGGAGGATATACAATATCTCCACAGCAACAGTAGGTTTCACCAGCACTCTAGTGGGAATTATTTCTTCTACATGATGTAGAGGAAAATACACCAGTAGCTAATGTGACAGAGGTAAAGTGTGCATCCATTGCTGTGTTACTTACAACTGTCAAGTGATGCTGCATCTTTCTCTCGTTTGTTCTGAGTACTGAAACTGTAGCTGAATTTTATTACAGTGTGAAGCTCCTTTTGTCCTTTCCTTCCCTTATGTACAATCATCTAGCTCTGAATGACGATCAATTAAGATGAAATCCTTGCACAAAACGAAACATTTAAAAGAAAAGCATTGCTGCTGTTATCTGTGAGCAGTATTACTTCTACTATATGACACTATTTAAGAGCATTTAATAAGTACAAAAAATGACTAGTTTTAGATAGACTGCAATTCTAGCATCATGACATTACTTAAAATGGGAGAAATGAATATATTGAGTATGTATCTATTTCCATACTCTGATGACTAAAATACCACTTGGCCTGTTTTCTATAGGTGTGAGAATCAGCTGCTTTATAAAGGTTTTGAATGAAGTCATTACGCTTTTTATATCACATTTGCCATTTAGAAATAAGCTGTTCTACCAAGATATGCATGATCAGCAAAGTTAACATTTAGTGCTCCAGAAAGAAATGTCATAACTATGAAACTTGATTTCTTCCTGACAGGAACACTATAAATTAGGCAGCCACAATGGCCAGGCTCACAAAACCTTCTTAGCCATCTATAATGTGATCTGATGTGATTATAGCAGCACCCGCTAGCAGTGCTATAGCTACAGTTCTGACAGTGCCCCTGTAATAAATCCAGTCTTTCAGGGGTTTACTGTGCAGCTGAAAAAGCCCGCTCCCTTTGAAGCTTGGCTCAAATGGTTCTGAAGAATCTGTATAATTGAGGGTGTCATATGGCAAAACTAAAATTTGACAGCAACACGGACTTCACCACCCTCTCTCTTCTCCCTCTTCCGTATACTCTCCTCGTAGTTCTTTTTTTCCAGAGCTATTCTTCAGCTGGATGAATTCTGCAATCCAGTTACTGGCCTAGGAGTAAAATGCTTTGCCAGCCTGGTCTTGAGGGTGGAACTTAGCTGAAGTACGCTTGAATCATAGTGTAGGATAGAAATAGTAGTGAATAAATGTAGTAGTTTACTGTAATCCAATAATTTTGCTCCTGAGATTCAGAAAAATCTGCTCGATGATGATATTTTCAGGTCTTCAGAAGCGAAGTTTGGATGGGCCCTTCATACAAAAGAGAGAGGATTTTTCACTGAAGTTTATGGAACAACTCAACTCCAGAGAGCAATAACTACATTATGTTAAGATTTTTATTTTACAGTGGACCTATAATGAATATGACTATTAATATGTATTTACAGCATATTATACAGTTTATCATAAAGGAGCTGTTAAGCTGAGAACACAAATTGAATAGAATGCTGAAAGCACACCTAAATCTTAACAGATCATTGAAATGAAATTAAATAATAAATTGTCGAGACCTCACAGCAGATAACGTGGACAGCAAATACATGGAGAGGTGTCACAGCAAAAATGGCAATAGCTCTTCTGTTCATTGACAGTGCTTTTGAACCTCAGAATCAGACCATGCCCATCTAACAACTCTCTGTCCATAGTGGCATGAGGCCTCAAGCTGCGGATCCTCAAGCTATGTACAATAAAGGCATCAGGAGTGTTAAGGTAGTGTCATCAAGCTTACATGACTAAAAAACATACTAGTTTACACAAGTTCAGCCAAAAGGCAGGGATGAGGCGGGGGGAAGTTTGGGGTTAGGAGAGTGTAAGGAGGGCTGTCTAGAGCTAAGCTTCTGGAGCTGTAATTATGCGAGTCCTTGTATGTTCACTGAAAGGCTGCTTTCCCAGATGTCCTTTGAAACAGGTTGGTGGGAGATACTGTGGTTGGGGTGGGCTTGAAATTGTGGGAACCAAATGCAAACCAGGGGCCTTAAGCGGCTCTCTTTTGTGTTACATATCAAGAGAGTACCAAAAGTAGAGTAATGAGGCAAAATTTTATCCCAGAGATTTGAGAAGCTCTATTACCCTTTTCTCCCAGTTTTTCCTTGCTTCTTGTTTTATTCACCCCACATATTTTGCACTTTCCTTGCTCCTCTTGCTCACGTCTCACCCTTCCTCCTCCATCTCTCCTCCTTCTCGTCTTTCTCTCTCCCTTTCCTTCTGGCTCTCCAACAACCTCTTCTGAGCTGCTGAGAGATGTGCTTCTCCTGAGTAGGAGTATTTCTGCAAATTGGTTTCCTGCTGTCCATTTTTCTTCTATTGTTATTCCCTCATGCTTCTTGTATTCCTACTTTTCTCTTATTCTTTTTTCTCTTATTCTTTCTGCTCTTATCTAGGTCGCAATTAGGAATAAATGGCACATTTTTTGAAGGTACCTGGAAAACCCAGAGAAAATAAGTTAAAATATAAATAGAGTAAAATAGAAATGCTTTATTTCAAAAACACCCTCAAAATAAAGGGTGGGTTTTTTTATTTTTGTATTTGAAATCATATTTCTTTCAGAATTTCACCCCAGTGTACTTTAGAAACAAACCAAAATCCACCCACTTCCCAGTCCCCCCCCCCCCCGGCTGCATTTAGTATGGGTGTTTTTGTTCATCCCCCCCAAAAAAAAAAAAAAACAACGCACAAAACCCCCCACATTTTAGGTGAAATACAATGTTTTGTTTTGGTAGGGAAACTGAAATCTTGTACTTCACATCAACTCTACACAATTTCTGTCTGAATATTTTGGTCTACTGATAAACAGAACTAAGCATTATTTGTGATCTAGACATGCAGTAGAGATTTTTGAGTCTCCTTTTCTTTGTGTTCTGTTCTTCTCCTGATTTTGTGGGATTGTTAAAGCATTTGTAAAGGATGTATATGACATGATTTTAAATTTCCTAAAGAGAATACAGATGGACTGTGTAATTATTGCTGAGAGGTGCTATTTTCTGTGTGCTGTACAACTCACATTCATAATATCTACCTGACAGCCAGAAAAATGTGGCCATCTCAGAAT